AATCTCAGGGGGTGCACGTGCACCTGCATACACCCCCTACATGTTGCCAATGCTGATAGCCCCATGCTGAGGCACCCTGTGATGCAGCCATCCCCTCCTGCGACATGGAGAGACAGGGAGATATGATGCCAAGAGGCTGCCTGGTCCACAGGGTGCCTCAGTGAGGGAGATGCCTGCTGGCTATCTTGGTGACGAAGCACCCTGTACCCTAGCCAACTGGGGCACTGTCTACATGTGCTCTGCTGCATAAGAAAAAACTCCACAGCAATAAGCTTCAGAAATTATTTGTGTGCATTAAATGTGCATGTAGACGTGCCCAGTGAAACTTAAATTAGATCATGGCATTCATTTCTGGTATCAAGGTTGCAAAAAATGGGAGGGAATTAAGAGAAGATAAACAGAAATATCAATGAAATTGTGGAAGCAAATTGGGAGAAAAGATTTAAAAGCATATTTATGTGGATATTCAAAAATCTTCCATGCATTTGAAAGGTAAAAACTCTAAGCAGGAAAAAAGATTTATTTATAGTGTGAAAAGATGTTATAACTAAGAGTTATGGATGAAAGAATCTCCCAAGAAAAGTAACAGAAGCCCAACTACATTTAATTTGAAACTGTTGGTCAAAGCATTGGGAAATGTAGTGCCAAGAAATCATCTTGCCAACACATCATATCATGCACACTGTAAAATATGAGAGATCATATATGTGTTCTGCATTATGCACCCTTGGTGGGTAGCACATCAGTCATACTTGATTCATGATGAGTTATACCAGTTCTCCTGAGCTATCCAGCATGGCCTAAACTTCCAAAAAGCCCTGACATAAAAACAGGAATTGACTGTGATTTAAACTGGAGTGGATTCTAAACCACAAAAGAATAAGATCCTCAGGAAGAACGCTCTAGTTGTCATCTGATGTCCAAAAGCACCTAACATTGACTGTTCAACCACCTTTCCTCTGAGGATCAATCCTGAATTAACTACAATGTCAAACAGATTTATAACAAGTTTTTGTATCTTATTTCTTTATCAGCAAAAAAAGACAAAATCTTTTCTCTAACTCAGATTTATTCAGGTACAGAGGCTGAAAAAGAAAGCCTTTTGGTTCAAGCTCACAGGCCGGAGTATAGCAAGAAGTGATACCTACTGAAGCATGAATTTAAACAGAACTAAATTGTAATTATGTTTTTTATATAGACTTGCTGCATGTAAGGAAACATTGCCTAGGTACAGCATAGTAGAAAACCCAAAATATTTTATGAGAGTAAAACTGAAAGTAATTACCAAAATGAGATCTTTTAGGATCATTATAAGTAGTCATGGAGTGAATGGGAGTTAGTGTCAGAATATGACCCTTTGTAATTTCTAGAACATGGTGCAATTTAACTTAATGACCAAAGAGAATCTCATTTTATCAGTGGTAGGAATACTGATGCACAATTTGAGGTGTCCATCAGCAGTTTACCAAGGCAAACAGCATAGTACAGAGAACATAAGCTGCAGTCTGTGAAAAATGAAATGTAACTGAGAAATTAACAAAATCAACTCACAAAATAACTAGCAGTAATTATTAAAGATTTTTAAGTAATCTATGAGCAAGAAGTTTCAATATTGTTGTCTTTGCCCTTATCTTGACAGGCACCAGGAGAGTGATTAAACATTACAATCTGCTGGTATTATGGTCTCTCTATTCTGGACATGAAGCAGCTGAGAAACCCCAAATATAAAAAACTATCATATCCAATACAGATAATTGATAATTTTGCTCAACAACCCAAATATGCCACCAGACTCATCATTTTTAAAGTGACTCCAGAAAATCCTTAAATTACACCTTACTAATAATTAAGAGAAGGATAGTGGATTTGGTGATCGCTGTAATGATTTAATGGATTTTGTGCAAAATGTGAAATCTGGCAATGTCTGCAAAAAAACCCTGAAAACTTACTGAAAATAAAATGCTGGCTCCCTAGAATGAGTCAGCTATCCTCATTGCACTGCAGCCTGGCTGCGCAGCCCACCGGGGGGGCAGTGAGGAAGAGGGGTTGCTGGCACACAGAGGCGGCCAAGGTGGCTGCCGCCCTTGCCTCTGACTGGCCGAGAGAGCTGCCCACCATGTGGCCCTATCCATCACCCTCAATTGTTGGACAGCCCTTGCCACCAATCACTGGTGAGGGGTGGAGCTCTGTGACAGCACTCACAGCCAATCAGTGGTAAGAGGTGGGACCATATCATGGACAGCACTCACAGCCAATCACCAGTGATGGCTGGGGCCACTAGAGACCCTTGGCCAATAAGAGGCATGGGTGGGGCAAACACAGCAAGCCTTTGAAAATTGCTGCCAGCCCTGCCATCTGCTCCTGAAATCAGCTAGCTGCCTCACATTGGGTAGACCCCTTGTAATGACCAAAGAGATGCTTTTTCTGCTATAGACCCTCTACTTTCCTGTAGAACCAGGGAGAAAAGCATGAGGCTTTGTATGTTTCCAACAACTTGCAGTAAAATACATTAAAGATGCAAAACATTCTAACATAAGCAAAATGTGGGCTGATGCTAAGTGCCACAAATTAAATGTACATAACTGAAACAAAGGAAAGCAGTAAAGCATTGGCAGCTCCAGTCCCAGCAGAAGCTGCAGCATGCAAAAACTAAAATACAAGGTTTATTGTTCCTATCTGCCTCAGATCCTTACATCATAATTCACTGATCTCAGAAAGCAAAGAAAGGAGACAAATTAGGCTGTATTTTTCATCACCGCCTCACCACTAGTTTTGTGGTACATCATTGCACTACTTTTTCACAGTCCCTCTGAAAAATGGTTAGTGATTTATTTGATAGGCATGTAGCAAATCTGAAGATTCTATTACAATGATGGCCTGCTCAGACTGATAAGAAGTAAGTGATTCCTTTTAATGCGACCCTAATGTGAGTGAAGGGTTATATGAAGGGAGATTATTTTAATGAGGAAGGAAAACAAAAGATTCATAAGTTTTATATCAGATGTCAACAGTACAGAAACATACTATTTTTCTGTTGACACAAAGAAAGAATGGGCTTGCAAGACACTGTAATCACAGATCTTGGTGATTCCTATTATATTATTATTTTTACAAGCAATCTAAAGAAAGCAATGGCAGCTTCCTTATCTTCTGTAAAGGAAAAATACCTCAGGCTTGGAAAGTTACAGTCTTCCTGAGTGATCAACAGAAGGCCTATAACAAATACAAATGATTCTGATAAACCTGGGATGCAAGTCAGTTTCTTCAAATGCATAGCTGTGATGGATTTATACCTAGAAGTATTAGAGCTCTTTCTGTACCAAAAAGAATATGTAGAGAAAGCATAAGAATAAATCCCAAAGTGCTGCAGTGTAGAAGAGGATAAGGAACCTATGTGTTTAATTATCTACTGGAACAGGGGGAAAAAAAGGGGCAAGGAAGAATATACATTATCTTCCAAAAGACTGTTACTATATGTGATAGATCTTCTCTGTGTTCCCTTGATGCTAGAATTACAGTGAATATATTTGGCATTCTGATGCAATTGTTTAAGTATTCAAGAACAATGCTCCGTGATGACTCTACTGTTTTCATTTTTGCCATTTTTCATCATTTTTGAGCATATAAGTTTCAGCATTTGCACAAAAGTCACCAGCATTCTCAGTGCATGCTCTCTCTCGCTTTTCCCAGTTGAATGGGGTGTTCATAATGAAATTTCTGAAGAAAATAGTCTAAAGGGATGGTAGATTTCTACCATTTTTGTTCTCATTGGAACTTTTCGTTCTGAAGTCCAGTTTCACACACTGATTTAAAGGAGTGAAACCTTACTTGTCATAAATAAGAGTTTTAGAATATGACCTTTAGCATTTGTTCACATTTCCTGCACACCAACACCAACAGAGCATGTTTGTTGCCACTAGGTGGCATAATCAAGACAAGACTGCAGGCACAGTGGACAACAGTTTGGTGGTACTTCAGGCAAAGAAATTCCCTACCCTACTGAGGTTTAAGAAAAAAAATATTGGTCTGGTTGCAGTAAAACACCAAGAAACTTTCCTAAGAGGATAAAGATGTTATCAATTTACATGTTTATATTTATATTATTTTAAAATAAACAACAAATAAATAACAAAGGGTTTCTGCTGTTTAGTCTTCAGATCTCTGTTTTCTTTTCTGAATTTAGAATTTGCTGTTTCTTAAGAAAACTACTAAACAAAATAAATTGCACTGCAGAAATAGTATGCACCTTAAATAATCTCTCTCCTACACAGTAGTAAGAAAACTAACATTCCAGTGTAGATCTTTTTCAATTTTGTACAAAAAAAAATGAAATCAAATCTAAAGATTCATTAAAAAAATTTAAGGAGCTTCAATTTTCAAAAGTGTTAATCAAATGTCAGAGTACTAATACCACATGATATGGATGAGATATTGGGCCATATTTTCAGCTATGGTAAATCATCATCATATCATTAATTTTTAATGGAGCACTATAATTACCATCCGCAGTGTGTGAGACTTATGGATTAATGTTTTGAGCACCGAGTTACTTGATCTCACAGACAGATGCAAAACTGATATAGCTGATAATATCTGATAATTGAACATTTCAGGTATTAGCCTCATCCTGAGCTATCGGGGTTCAAATTGAAAAAAAACAACAACTCATGATTGAAGTCAATAAACCTGAAGCTTGAAGAATATGGTGTTATCTTTGCATACTAATCTTTTCTTTATAAGTTATATCTCTTCCTCAAGTTCATTTTTATGATTATTGAACATTTTTAATGCACTAACACCAAAAAGAAAGGCTTTAGGTTATTGCTATTTCACAAATCATGCATCAATTATGTATCCAGATGGCTCTTATCACTTAACAAGGCAATGCCTGGTATTTGGTTCTCTATTATGTCTAAAAGAGAAGAAGAGAAAACAAAAGTGCTTTCTTTCCCATTCAAGAGATGTTTCCATTTTTTTGTCAATGTTTTTGGCTTTCTTACCTTCTCACCAACACCTCCAACAGAGCCAATTGAGCCTGGGGGACCTTGAGGACCCTACAATAAAAAAAAACAAACACAAAACCATACAAGTTATCCAACATATATTTCTCATTGTTGTAGCTTAAAACAGGAATGACGTAAGTAGTACGCAAGCGTGTTTCTTACATCAGCTCCATTAGGACCCTGAGGACCTCTTGGACCTGGCGGACCGGGTGGACCCTGCAATAGAGAGAAAATGCAATATGTGAATTCAGGAGCTTACAATCATAAGAATACAGACAAGGCAAAGATTTTTTTGGTATTACCTTTTAATGGACCAACTGCATAGTTGGGATAGATGGTTCATTGTCGTTTAGTAACAAGGTGTTTGATGTGTAGAAAGCTGTTAATCTTTGAAGTGCAACATACACTGTGTTGGCCAGATTGTGCTACTCAATAAAAAAAGTTGACAAGGGCTAAGGGCTCAAAGAGTTGTACATCCTTGTTTCCCTGTATTATGGACACCTACATCCTTGGTAATCTACTACACCTGTAGATTACTTCTATTGTTTATTTATGTTTTTACACAGTGCCCTAAGTCTCCCAAGCAGGGGCTGCAATGCACTGCTGCCTCCAGTGCAGTAGTATTTCTCTTCCTCTCTATTAAAGTGAGCAAACACTCATTTTAAAGATGAGAAAATGGATGTACAGAATTTTTTGTAGGATTACAGAGGGGGTTGTTGACAGATCCAGGATTTAGTTCAGGCTCTCAGGTCTATAAGCATACCTGGAGACTATGAATGTAATACTGAATTATAAGACATAAGTAAATCAATAGCAAACAATTTTTTTATGGCATTTATAATGAACAAGAAAAGAAACCCTTACCATTGGGCCAACATCACCATTTTCTCCCTTTTCACCTGGTGGGCCAGGTAGACCCTAACAATAGGAACAGAAAAGAAAAAAAATCAAGAAACTACTTGAAATGTTGAGAAAATGTAAACCACATTTCACCTGTTAAGGAAGTCATCAGAAATTATTTGAAAATGGAATTTTTTTTTAATTTTTAAATTTTTAAATTACTTTCATGTGCCAAAAATATTAAGAATGCAGACATTTTATAACTGGTGAGGTAGAAAGTTTATGATAAAAACTTAAGTGTTGATAGGCTTGATTTAAACAAGATTGGCATGATTTTGTTCATTGGATTACATACTGTATAGTCCCCTACATTAAAAAAAAATCATTTATTGGCTTGCCTTTGAACAACTTAGACTATACCTCCTCAAAAACATTAAGGGAAATAAATTGTAACTCTTGACAATAAACATTCCTTACGCAATATGACTAATTCAAGCTTAAACTCATTGCCATCACTATATTCTGTCACAATTACACTCAAGACCAAATCCTCAGGTGGCCTAAATTAACGTGGCTCCACTTACTCCATCTTAAGATCTACTCAGTTTCAATTTTACTTCAATGGTATTATAACATTCAACATACATACAAAAAAACTGATAATCAGAATGCAATGCACAACCTTCACTCCAAACCTTCTGCAGTGCTCTATCAAAGAACTTTCGAGCATAACTTTAGGCTCAAGTACATCCAATCCTCAACGTCTGTCTGAGCTCAATACTTTCCTTACAACTAGTATAGAAACCTTATAGCTTCTGAGATGGGAAGAAGAACACTTGTACCAAAAAGGAGTTCATCTTTCACTGGGCAATTCTTTGCTGGCTAGTTCTGGCCAGTTTCTGGCCCCTCTACATCACCAGAATGATCACAAAATTTGGCTGAAAAAATACAAAGGCAATCATATTCTCAAAATTATACATCAAAACAAGAATAAACATCATCTGTCTATTGGTATTATGACTGTGAGGTTAATCTACTATAACGTGGTATTGAATACCAACTTTAATTGTAGTGGTGGATACTGCATTGACAGTACAACTGTATAGTACAGAATTCAAGGGGAGATAAAATTCAGATATATTTAATATGCTTCCTGTACATAATGGCATCAGTCAGTTCTGTCTCTAACTGAAGACACTGCTGATCTATAGTTCTGGGCACAATGTGGTTGTTACAAAGGCCTATTTATTACCATCTAATCAGGATGAGAGAGACAATTTTAACTCATTTTATGATGCAATTGATTTCTGTATTTCATTCCCTATTTATTTTTAAAGGTAATAGTTTGTGCTGCACTAAAATGGAAAACTGTAACTAATAATAATAGGTGTACTAAAATGTGTTTATTGATTACAGTACTGTCAGTGAATATTTGTCTTGTTACTGGCTTATGATGCTGGTTATAATGAAAGATGCTTTATTTAGAAACTTACTAAATGCATATTTACTACTGGATATACCATAACAAATCTTCATATTTTAAAGCTTTGACATACTCAGAAGAACACTGATAAACTATATTTGATTATACTGAAGAAGAGGTCTGTCCCCATTTTTAAATATGCATTTTACTTACTATGCAGTTTTATTATGCCTCCAAAATGTTTGTTGTAGCAATGTTATTACACATTAATCAGAATTCATGTTCCACTATGCCTTCCAAACATACTATTACAAAATAATGAGTCATTACCATTTCAAAGCCTCACTTAATTCCAGACAAAATAGAAAATCATATCTTTCAAATTTGCAAAATAAAATTCTAAATAATTTCAGGTAATTCTGGAAAAAAGCTGGTAAACAGAGGATGTGGAATAACACTAATATTGCAGAAAATTCTTCAATGTTTAGACAATAACAAGCAATCCTTTTTCTAAATCTGAAAATATATGTAACTTTTGTTCTTTTTCTAGCTAGCTGTCTCATGAAAGTAGTACATCTAGCTAATTTGGATGAATAGTGTCTAAAAGGAAATTTAATGTCAATGCCCTGACAGATGGTAAATTAAAGGTGCAATGGGCTCTGATCCACAATCTCAACAATCATGCTTCCTGCCATGCCACTTACATATGGCAGGAAGCATAACTGTGGGGATTGTGATCAAAACCCATTACACCATGTTGCTGGTGTAGGGGGAGCAGGATCACAATCCTGGGCTCTCCCTGGACTGGCAAATAGCAAGTCTGGCTCCCTGCGCTCCCCCAGCCCCTAGCCCTGATCAGCTGAAAGGCAGCTGGGGGAGTGCACCATGTACTTCTGTGACTGGAGCCCTAGTCAACAGATGGGAGTGCCCAATGTGGGAAATGCATGGAGCCTTTGGGTTATATAAAGGTTATGATTTACTTTTTACATAAGACATGGAAAGCAGTGATCAGGTTATGATTGCTTTCTAGGTTTTTTGACAATTTTTAACTTCCTTAATGGCATTCTACTGAATAACTTTGTTATACATTGCAAATGATATTTGATTTGACTTTCATTTCAGCTATTCAGTGATCTATTAATATCAGTATAACTTCCCTTAAAGTGAGGATCCTTGAATAAAGATGATTCAGCTTTTATTGTTGAGTTCCTTATAAGTTACTTTGCCATTATCCATTCAGTCTGACCAAGATTAACAAAGGGGAAATACAGCTATTTTATACTTTAAAAATCATCTCTACATGAATGTCCTGTGTTAAAAATTCCACACTTCTCCCCCAACGAAAATTTGGCATGGAAAGTGCAAGGCCCCTATATTGAACCTAATTCCAGGTGGGAAGAATTCAAATAATGACATTGGCAAGACAGACAGTCTTTGAGTACACACGTTCCAATTATATGGGAGAATTTTTCCAGCTTTGTTCTCCTGGTAGAAAAAGCCTACCTATAGCAGAAAGCCCCCTTTTCCTCTTGCCTGCATTTGCTCTCCCCTCTTTGGATATGTTTCTCTTTTTCTACCTTTTCTTCCTTCCTCTCTCTCTCACTTTAAGATAAGGAATTGTGTTTTAAAATTTGTATGTGTGCATTTTGTATCTCCCCTTGTAGTTTGGTATTTTTATCTATTTGTGTGCCATGGCATTTGTAGCTTATATTTTATACTCCTCACCTTTCAACTTTCAACTGAATGTGTTTTAGTAAGTTATACATTGTAACAATGTTAACAAGGGCAGGAATCAAACTGTCCTTCTCTGTATCAGGCTGGCCCCTGAAAGAGCGAGTGAATCAGTGATTGAATGTGTAACAAGGTAGCACACAGCAATTAACACCTGGGAAGCTGCAGATCAACCAAGGGAAGAAATCAATAGAAGACAATGTAACAACCGGGAAATCTCTAAACCTCACTGATCAAGGGCTAGAAGCCCTGGCCTGAGTTAATCAACGCAGGGGACCAACTTTTGGGCTGAGTTTCTCCAGATCAACTGCTCCCAGAGCCCTATTCAAAATTAATCAACGGACTCCCAAACCTGCACGTACATGCGGACAACCCCTGGGGCTGACAGATGCTGTCCAGTAGCCACCGAGGGGGTGGGGGGGGAAGTCCCACGAGGGTCAGTGACCCCTGGATTGGGCAAACCTGAAAACTGGGGAGTCACCAAAGTCTGCCAAGGACAGATAAAAGGCAGTGAAAAGTGACCCTCAGTGGCGCCCTCTTGATCTCCGAACCGACCAGACCTGTCCAGCCAGAAGGACCAGCCGGCGACCCCCTTCTGGAAGATAACACCACGCTGAAAGAAGCCTCAACGACAGACTCCAGCGCTTGTAGGATAGGTATACCTGACTCTGTAGCCTGCTACTGTGTGTGTGTATGTGTGTGCATGTGTGCATGTGTGTGTGTGTGTGGGGACCAGCCCCAAGGTTTATGATTACAGTGTTTCAATCCGCCTAATAAACTTGAATTTTAAGGATCCCGAGTTGGACATTTGTAGCCAACATACCCAGAACTGCAGGTATAGACATTCAAAGGCTGAGGCCCTGGAATGGAGAGCTTGCAGTGTTGACATTGTGCAGCCAAGATGAGGTGCCGATGCACACATCTTAGCACGCTCCGCAGGCTCCCTTAGTCTGGCAGGCAATAAGTGGAATCAGGGGCATAGGGCACCCCTGATTAGCTCACCTAGACTGACCATGGTGGGCATTGGGGTGGGGGGGTGGGGGGTGTTCTGCTCCCTGCTGGAGTAGCAAAGTCCAGTGAGGAGCAGATCATCTCCCCCAGAGGGAAGAGGGAGGGATGCTAGAGGACTATATTCTCTTCTGAGAAAAGTCCCACAGCATGCACAGACATGCCCTTTCCTGGGAAAAAAAACTCTCCTGGGAGTGATTTAACCCTGGTTGTTCCTAGGTTATTTTTCTTCTACAGCAGCTATTTTTACTCTGGAAGAAAAAGCCTGAATATCTGTACACTTGTGGTTTTCCTGGGAGAGCACTGTGATTTCTGTCTGCATGAGGCAAATAGCTCATACAGCACTATTAAGATTTTTTTATCATTAGTTTTTAAATACAACCTGAGGCAACAGTAGTGCCAACACTTATGCACATACTTAAATCAAAGCATTTTGGTAACTGTCTGTAAGGCAGATTTTCAAAGGGCGAAAAAGCAAGTAGGCACAAAATGGGACTATACTACCCATTGTGCTTTTGAAAATTTCCCCTGAAAGTTCACATTTTTATGGTGAAATGCTAACCCTGACAAAATCAATGAGAAAAACCTCCCATTGACATCAGTGGTTTGGGTTTTCACCCTTAAACATTGCAGTTTGAGGGCCCATCCATGGTATTTGTGTTTTAGATTCAGACTCTATTAATTGATTCTAAAACAATTCAGCCAGGAAATGCACATTTTAAAATGCTGCTCCAACATCATTTGTTTTTAATGGAGTTTTCTGAGGATTTTAAAGAATGTTAAAGCTTAAAAGACACAACAATGAAGACTACCTTTAAAAAGAAACTTAAGCTAGACTTTAAATTTTTTTCCTGTATTTTTCCTGCATGAACAAAAATAATTTTAAAGATTTAATACCCAATATAAGTACCTCAGTAGAATTCAATTTCAGCTAGTAAAATGTGATTACTATGAAATATGATAAACAAGAAAGATAAAGATGTTACTCTCTAAGGATTTGCAGTTACCATGAGAACCATATTAATGAATAAAAGGAGCTCTTGATTTCTCAGTGGTACTTCATTACCATTAGTGTATATGAGATCTGGGTCCATGGACCAGTACACTCAAAGAAAAATGAGATTCAGGGAAACCTAATTCTGCTTTTGAAATTATTCATTTGTTTAAATCTTAACCTGGCTGATTTCTTGTTTTTTTGTATAGTTTCATTACATTGAAGCCATGGAGGTAAAGTACAGGAAAATTGATCCTCTTCAAAACATTTCTTTTTTAAACAGTACTTTCAATCTTGAAGTATTTTAAAAAAGACATTGTTTCAGTCTCTCACGCACACACATTATGTTCAGTAAAAAACCCAGTGCACTGGAAGCATATCAGACAAGAAATGGGAAAAGTGATTTAGTTTATTCCACAAATTTTGAATTTATGGTTTCAAATTGAAAAAAAGGAAAAAAAAAAAAGAAACGGTATAACTTTCATATTATATCTGAATAACTAGAAACTGAATAACTGAAGATTTATACTAACTGAACAAAATACTTCTTGAGGCCAACTGGACTTCTTACATGGATAAATACTCTGTACTTTATCATTTGTTTCATGGAAGAGTAAAAAATCCTAAATATTTTGTTCTTTATGTTATTATATAGAATCAAATAAAAAATTCTCACAAACAAGATTTTTAGCTTGCATTTGTATGGCTGAAATAATAACACTCAGACATAACAGAAATAACACCTGCATTTCTTTATGTTCCTGATTACCTCATGCACTGACTATACTTTGAAAGGAAGGAAAGGCTAAACTAAACCAGACAAAATTGTCAACAAAGGCAACATATACACATAGATATTTTTTCTTGATCTAAGACCCCTATTTTGAAGTGTGGGGATCCTGATACACAAGACATGGGAGACTGCTGGAGCACAATAATTACCATGCTCCAGCAGACTTGATTAGCTCCGACACACTGTAATTACAATGCAACAGAGCAGCATCCAACACATCTACAAGCACCCATCATGATTCACCTCAATATTACAATCTATAAATCTGTTTATGAATCCTACAAACACAAGATCTCTTATCATGTTATTGGTTGATGTTAAATGTAGCTAGTGAAAAGCAAATCTTTATTGTTTTGATCTGCACTGACATGCAAATAAAATGACCTACAGCTGTAGGGGAAAAATAATTTTCTTACCTGAAGACCAATAGGGCCTGGAGGACCAGGGAAACCTCGAGAACCTTCATCACCTTTCTGCCCAAACATGCCTTGTTGACCTCGGGGACCTGGCTCTCCATCACCTCCCTATTAGACAATAATATATAACATCATAAGCAAAAAGCATAAACATGTCAGACTAGGCCCTATCAGAAGAGGCTCTGCTGAAATTATTGGTCCTATGCTATCATAAGACCAGTGTAAGAGATCAGAATCAGAACCACTGTGTCTACAAATGTACTTAAAGCAGCAATTAAATTTTAGTCAATATCATTTCGTCCAAATGAAATAAAGGTATGTGGCCTAAACAAAAGAAGAAAGAACAGTGCTGCACATCTCAGCTTAATTTTCACTAGGTAATTATGTCTTTCATTTCTACTTAGACACTTGATCATTGAACGGCTCAAACAAAGGCTTGAAAAAGCCAGCAGTACTTCCTGGGCTGAAGAACATTTGTTATTACTCCCTCCTCCCATCCTGTGCTTCTCTGGGAGAGGGCTGGTTCCCAGCCCAGGCACCCTCTTGGCCACCAAAGGAAGTAGAAAGACCTGGCCAGCCTGCAAGCTCTACAAAACCAGCAGACCTCTTTGGGTGGGTGCTGCCTTGTGGAGCCACTGAAGGGGAACCCTTAAGGGTGATCTCTAGCTTTGCCCTTCAGTGGTGACCTAAGGGGAGGTGTGGATAAGGGCCCCATCTGGACACATAGAGGGAAGTGAGGGGGGCAGCCCAACCCCTGAAGGGAGGGAAGGGGGTTTCACCCGTCCCCATGGGGAAGCGTGACCCAGCCAGGGGTGGGGTATGACTGGGGCATGGCTTGGCCCCATGTAGGGGTATGTGGGGGCTTGATCCATCTCAATAGGGGTAAGGAGGCCTGACCCGGTGCCAAAAAGGCCGCTTGGGGGAAAAGGGGATGTGGCCTGACCCTAAACCTGCCCCACAGGGGCAGAGGATATGGCTTGGCTCCAACAGGGTGCAAGGGGCTTGGAGTTTGGAAATTTGGCAGGAGGGAGGGTGGCCATACTAATGTCCACTGCTTCCCTACCAGCAAATTTCCTGACCTATGGGGAGCCCTACAGGCTGGATTCCAAGCACCCCTGTTCTATCGGATCGTAATAAATAGCATGCCAAAAATTGCTCCAAGAATTAAATCCAATTCAGCAGATGCCCTATTTCAATTTTATGGTAGTTCCATTCCTTTGAATTTCTTACTCTGGCATAAAATTGCAGCAAAATAGTGAGTATAGTAATGCAGAATCAGTGGCAAGTACATGAATGGCTTTTTACACCTTACACTGAGCACTGCACAAGTGTTGGTTTGGTGTTAGTGCTAGCTCAAGTTTGGAGCAGTCACACTTCAAGCCAGCAGAGGTCTGTGGGACTGAAAGGTAAGAATCTCCCCCCTCCCATTCCAGGCTTCACCCCTGCTACCTGTGTTTCTCCCCCCTCCCCTGCCCCTGCCACCTTTTGGGGCTCCCCCCTGCTTACTTATGGCTGCCCGTGCTGTCTGTTCCAGGGGAGCAGGCAGGGAAGTGTTAACCTGTCTGCCCAGCCACCACAGGGTGCTCTTCTTCTCCCTGCTGAGTGGGCTGAGTTGTGACAGCAGGGCAGGCAGGTTAATCCTTCCATGACTGCTCCCCTGGGACAGACAGCACAGGCAGCCACAATTAAGTGGGGAAGGCAGGGAGGCAGTGTGCATGGATCTGGGGTGCTGGGTAGGGCAGGAGAGGCAGTGGGCCAATCTAGGCCAGCAAGGGAGGGGGGATAAGTGAGATTTTTTCACTAAGGTATAGCCTAGAGTGGCTGCACCTTAGTGTAACACAAACTGGGTAACAAGGATTAGACATAATCCTGCCATGGAGTGGCATAACTTTGAGCTGCATAACGAGTGCTTAAGATTCATTTAAAGTATTAATGTGCAGACAACCCACATGTTAAGAGCTCTAGGAGGCACCCAACATTATCATATAACATGGCCTTGAGTCTAGGGACATGTTATCACTTCATGTTAACCATGTTGAATTCTCTTCATGTTAAGCAGCAAAAAAATATTCCAGGGTTTCAGAGTTAATGAAAAGGTCTAATTTAACTATGCATACAATCAGCTACTTACAGCTATACCAGGGGCACCAACAGGACCTTGAAGACCTGGTGGCCCAGGAGGACCCTGGAAAAAAAAAAAAAAAAAGTAATTTTCTTGTCTGGAATGAGATAAACAGCAGATACAAAGAGCAAGTATTTGCATCAGCAAGGTCTATTAAGCATTTTTACATTCCTCCAGAGAGAATGCAATATTACTCACAAATCTTTTACATTCAGTGCAGTCAAGCATTATTTGTTTAGCTCTCAAAGACTCAGAATTGCATGTCTATAATAAATTTAACTGACATTTATTGAAGGCACTTACATTTGTAATGTTTCAGGATATTTAAAAATGGATTTCAATGCAAACATGAATCAAAGATGAAAACTGGGTTTTCCGAAACTAAAAATAGCAGACCTTTTAATGAGATTTGCAGAGAGAAAAGTCAACCCTTAAGGTGTATTCTTCCTATCTGTCTATAAACGGAAGGCTTAGGATCTGAATCACAGTTTTCATAAAACTTTAAATGCTTCTTGTGATTGTAGAAAACTTGCTATTTTGACATAACGTAACTGAGAATATGCAAAGTGCCTGAGTACTCAGCTTCTCAGCACTATGTACAAGATGCTTCTTTTGAGAAAACCTATTTCACAGTATTTTGCCATTGTAAAGGGCCCTCAGTGGAAGTAAATTACATTATTGCCAGAGTAATTTAAAGGGACTTAGTGTGACTAAGAAACTAGCCACATATGAAACACACATACTATGCATACATATGTATATCATCTATCTACCTTAGTGTATATGCTATTGTCCTGACTGTGCATTCCTTACTCATGTTGATAAGATTTACTGAGGCCAACTGGACTTCTTACATTGATAAATACTAAACAGTGATGCTAAGGGCCCTGCATGTGTAAACTTGGTCATTTATACAGGATATGTTTAGGAAGCAAGAAGTGATAGGATTCTAGATGAGAGATGATAGGATATCTAATTTATGTTGCAGAATGAAGAGACATTGATTAATTGGTAAATCATGCTGTACAGGGATAAGATATTTAGTTAAGTGGAGACGTGTAAAATGCTAATCTAAATTGTATTATACATTCACAAGACTTACTGCTTCTATTTTACTGGTATCTGGTCACATTAATAGAAAAACGGAATTGGTCAGACCAGTTGTTCTTGGTCTTTTTTAGGCTCAAAGAAAATACTAGCTCTTAGCTTTCATTCATTTTTTTGACTATAATGGAGCAATTCTTCTATTGCAAGGAACTCAGAAAGACTGCAACAGGTCCGAATGTTTTTGACACTATGGATTCCTATTTGAAATCTCTAGCTGTATCTTGTAAATCATGTGTTGGTGTTTGCACCCAATGCTAATATTACACAACACCTTTAAAAGAATTCATGGGTCCCTGGGGTGCCACAGCACACTGATTTAGAATCACTGGTTTATACAAAAAAACATGTATACAGTAGAAAGGCAGAATGCTTCCAGGAGTTCACTGGCTCCAATGAATGAGACAAAAGCAGGTTCAGGTAGACTTTTAAAGCCCTACCAGACATTACTTTTGTCACATTGGAGCAGGACAAAACACATCGGGTCAAACATTCAGGCTTTTTGTCCCCATATAAAAAAAATAGCCAATCTCAATCTGGCCCCAAAATAGTGGATCAACAGCAATAAAAAGTGCTGTAAAAACAGTAATTTATTTGTTGCAGGAGGACTTTCTATTACAAATTTAAAACATACTAGTAGTGGTATTTCTATCTGCCAGTATCTGCCAGTACTCTACTCTCCCTTTCCTCCTTCAAGGTATGCTGTCAAGGAGACTTAGTGATGTATTTCAAGCATACCAACAAGCTGTGACAAAAGAACCTTATAAGTGGTCTCCTGGGGGGAGGAGGGTGGGGGGGTGTTGCAGGGAGTCCCATCACCCTTGCTTCCAGACAGTATGGGTGATGGGCTCCGCAACCAGCAGGGACAAGACTGACTACTAGGTTCAGACCTTCAGACCAGTCCCTGCCACTACAAAAAGCATACAGAGAAGCATATGTAAGCATTACAGGTGCTTACAGAAAGCCTTGTCAGTTGGGATGCATGATGCAGGGAGCACACAGGGAGCCCCATCATCTTTGCTGTGTGGCTGATGGGGCTTGGTCAGTCCTGAGATCTGGTGATGGGACTCTGAGAAAGTACCAGCAGCAGTGGTTGAAGGGGGCATGGTCCCCTATCAGCCTCTGCCATTGACTCGCAGATGATTAGGCTCTCCTGGGGGTTGGCAAGAGTGCAGAGAGGGTGCAGGACAATGTGACTCTACTCATCCAAACCCTGAGGAGGACCCTGCACAGAACCCCCTGTGTCTCCTGCCTTGCCACTCACCTTGATTATCCTCCCTCCATTGGTGACTGGGGTCATAGTGGGCTGGGTAGTTTGGGCAGCACTCCACCAGGCCTCTGCCACCACTGGGGCAGAGGAAAGGGACGCACATACCCCCTACAGGGAATCAGGAGGAGCCCCTGCTTAACCCAGGAACTGGAAAATCAATGACTGAGGCTCTATGGACTCAGTGGAGCTTGCAGATCCCTTGGCTCCAGCTGTGCCCAGAGAACAGCTGCTTCAGTTCCTAGAGAGCATGGTATCCTCCAGAAACAGGGTGCAGCTTGCTCTGGATGACTAGGGGGATTACCACCAGATCCTCAATACTGTGAGGGCTCATGAGGTAGAATGCCAGAAATTATTTGGCCCACAGCTTCTACAATGCTCTTTATGTCTACAGGAGGAACATGGGATTTCTGCTGGGTTGAACAACCAGCGCTGACTCATGAGGCACCCACTGAGCCTTCCTCTACCCTCCCCCTACAAGCAATGAAGATCCCTGCCATTATTAGCCTCAACATCCATGGCTGCAGGATGAATCTCTGCACATGCCAGATACTCACTTACCAGCAGCAGAGTACTCTGTGCTATTTGTGCAGGAGGCCCATGAAACACCAGCTGCTGAAGCAAGCTGGCGCCTGGTGTGGGAAAACGGGGACAGATGTGAGGCTGCAGAGACATGATGTGAGGCTGCAACCCTGTTCTTCCCAGGTCTTCAGCCAGAGATCCTGCAGATAGCTGAGGTGGTGCCAGCTTCCTTCTCCATCTCTGTGGTCCAATACAGGGGTTCATCCTGAACCTGGATTTGTGTCCCTATTCACAACTCAGAGAGGACATGATTCTATCCGTAGACAGCTAATTACCTTGACACTCTAAGTGCCTGGTCCTGTAAAGTGGTCTGGCCTAGTGCTTACACCACTGAGGGAAGCCAGGCAGGGTGGACTAGGGCTCAGTCAGGATTTGTGAGCTGAATTACCAGATCCAGAGGTAAATCCAAGGGCGGAATCCAAAACACAGGCCAAGGCAGGGTTCAGAAATTGGATGCTGAGTTAACAAATCCAAAAGACAGTGAATAAGTTGAGATCAATGAACAGTCATGATCAGGAAACAAGGAAACAGATCCAAAGAGAAATCAAAAGCCAGAGTCCAGGAACAGAGCTAATTGGGGTCAGGAACCAGAAAAGCCACAGAGCACAGGAACTGGGAGGCTTACTAAAGCACATTTGAGTCAGAACTGTTGGCTGTCACAGCTGGGACTAAATGAATAGGTTGCACTCCCAGCAGCCAATCAGGAAGCCAGCAAGTTATTTAACTGAGACAGAGCTTATTAGTTAAAGACTCAAGGTATGTGTGACTGCCTAGGCAATTGGCCCAGGCTGGACTACTTGTTAGGGCCCCTGACAGGTCCTCACAAACGGGCTTCAATGTCACCCATGAAGAGGACTGACCAAGGAGCGAGTGGAGTCAGGGCACTGCAGACATCCTAAAGAAGTGGTCATCACTAATAGGTAGATGTGACCTTTGTAGAATCCTTCCAGGAGTCCTGGCTAGTCTGGTGTTAGCAGCAGTGGATCTTTCCCTTGGTGCAGAGATGATGGTATGTGGAAGACTACACCTGGGCGGAAGGGCACACCAGGCTTGGGCAGGCAGCCATAGAATAAATCTCAAAGGAGCTTTGCAAACTGTAGAGGCACCTTATCACTAATTCAGACAACTCGTCCCTCTGTAGAGAGTGTCAGGAGAAATGGGAAGAGCTCCAAGCTCTGGAAGACTGCCATGGCTGTGGCATGTATTTCCAATTCCAGATCCAGCTCATCAGGAGATGGACCATGGCTCCTGCTTCTTCTATGCCTTAGAGAAGAGAAGGGGTGCTAAGAAGTACATCAATTGCCTCCTATCAGAGGAATGTTCTCCTCTCATGGATCCCATTGAGCTGAAAGAAAAAGTGAGGACCTTATTTGTAAGACTCTTCTTGCTGGATCCAACTTTCTTGCAATAATATACATAAGGCCCATAAGATCCTGCCTCAAATTAGCACAAATGACTAAGACTGATTGGAGGATTCTCTCATTGGCTGAGCTATTGGAAGCTGTCTTCTTGAAGCCCACCAACTAGTCTCCAGGCATCTACAGGCTGATGGTTTTCTTTCACATAGCTAACTTGGAGCAACAATTATAAATCCACGTTAAGGTTAGTTAACCAGTCTAATGCTTAAGGAAAGGGAATGTATCTCTGCAATGTCACTGTCAAATTTGTATAGAGGGAAAAACGTTGTTATGTGGTCCATAGTTTGATCAGGATGGCCACAGTCACATTTTGCAGAACTCCTAATACGCCATTTGTACATCAAGTGATCACAACAGCTATGTCTGGTTTGGATCCAATTTACAGCCTTCTATGTTTTCCATGGAAGGTCAAAAACAGGAGATTTTATTGTTGGGTGAGAAATTAGATGTTTATTCTGAATGGTGATTTCATTCCACGCTTTCGTCCAAGTTGCTGCACTGTTGTTCCTACAAGGGATTGTACATGGATCCACAAAGCTTTCTGGGAGACCAAACAGTGAGATGGGAGGTTTTTTAAATCTCTATGAAAGGTCTCTTTGGAAGGTCTCATTTTTTATTTATGCAGGTGACCTCTTGGTATATAGTTTCATCATGGCGAATGTCTGCAGGAGCAAAATTGGCTAGCACCAGTA